GCCAATCATGTCTTCAAAATTCCTTCCCTTTTGTTAAATAAAACATTTTGTAAAATCTGAAAGTTGTGCATTTGTTTCATGTAACTGATGTGGTCATGAAAGCCAGGTCTTTTATTTATACTTGGGATAATGCAGAGGTAATGAAAGCAGAATTGGACCTAAGAGGTTTTTTGTTTCAATTATAAAACAATGTGGGTAAATGCCTTGGGTTTGACAGCAACAAAAGAAAGGGAATATTGTGCTTATGCCTTCAATCAGCTTTATTAGATCCTTAAAGGGAAAATTATGTGAAAGGCAGAGGAAGAAAACAACAAGCTAAGCAAGATCGCAATTTCAGTATAATTCGGAGAAAATAACTGATTTAGGTTGGTCGTCTTGCCAGGGTGAATGACTCAAGGCTTCCAAACAAGAAATGGAAACCAGAAGGATAGGGAAAGCCTGCAAGAACAAATTGAGAAGATGTGATTGACTGTAATGTTTCAAAATCAACTGCTGCAAAGATGAGTTTGGGCTCTTGCCCAGAATACAATTGAATGGTGATGTTCATTTAGACCCTTAATGCTCAAACAAAATAAGATGTAGCTGTGTTTCTGTTAGAAATTTATTTGTTCTTTCCAGTGTCTCTAGCTAGGGATATGATGTCATCTCCTCTTTCTTCTATCAGACCCTACAGTGATTGCTGTTGCTGCTGTTTCATAATTTTTCTGAACACCAGTTTTTTGAAGGAAGGCTTGAGGCCAGGTGATAATATCTCTCAAATGTGAAATGTCATCGCTGTTCATTAGATGACTTTGAAAAATTTTGTACTCTGTGAGCAAATAGGCTAACTCAATTGGCCAAGCAAAATAGAATTATAAGATTGTTGTGTGTGTATGTACTTTTTGACTGGCAAAGCCACTCGAGGTTTTGTTACTATCATGCTCGGGGTTTTTTTTAATTGAGTAAATGGTTCATTCTGCAAAGATTGAAATAACTATCTTTAATGGATACAATTTGTAAAATGTTATTTTTAGAAGTTGGGGGCAGCTGCTTGTCCTCCACCTCAGGCACAGGAGGTTCTAAAAGCAACTACATTTTTTATGCAAAAAATTAGTCAGTTGACAATAGGCAGTGATGGGATGGGATTGTCTTCTACTTCCTCCTTTCGTTTATTCCTTTCATCTCACTGGCTGTGCTTACTAACCTTTTTTCTGTTTCTATTTCAAATCAGGAAGGGAAAAAAACCCTAAACCACAGCTCATAATTAAATACTGAACTAGTTCTTACCATGTTTACTGAATTACATATTGCATATATGGATGTATATCCTCAAAGTTTCATGTGTTTTTAGATTTCTTAACTTAATGTGTTCCATCGGAATAGACCTTAACTCCTTCTTGTCTGTTTTCCATGAAGAGATTTGCTTCCACAGAGGAAGGAAGTTTACAAATGTGGTGGTGTGGCTGGTATACCAGAGGGTTGTACTGCCAGTTGGGTGGACTTTGACATTCAGGAGAAATGGTTTGGCAAGAACCTCAACCTGAAGTTCAACAAGGGCAAGTGTGAAGTCCTGTGTGTGAGGAAGAATAATCCCACACACCACTATTATATTTGGGCCAATCAGCTGGAAAGCAGATTTGCAGCACAGGACCTGTAGGTCCTTGTGGACACCAAGCTGGGTGTGAGCTGGCAATGTAGCCTGCAAGCAAAGGGACTCCTGATATCCTGGGCTGCTTTAGCAAGCTGCTTTAGCTGCCAGGAGGTCAAGGAAGGTGTTTACATATTTTCCCCTACTCAGCACTGATTGGACTATAGCTGGAGTGCTGTGCCATTCTGGACTCCCCAGTACAAGGGAGACATGGACATAACACAAAGAGCTCAGTTGAAGGACCACTGAAATAATTAAAGGACTGGAGCATCTTTCATAGAAGAAAAGACTGAGAGAGACAGAACTGTCTGGGGGAGAGAAGGCTCAATGGGCACAAGTACCTAAAGGAAGGGTGCAAAGACGATGAAGCCAAGCTCTTCTCAGTGGTGCTCAGTGACAGGGCCAGAGGCAATGGACACAACATGTAGCACAAGGGGGTCCATATGAACATCAGGAAACACGTTTTTACTGTGAGGGTAACTGAGCAGTGGCACAGGCTGCCCAGAGAAGTTGTGGGATCTCCTTCCTTAAAGGGTAGGCGTTCTTTGAAGATACTTAGAAGCTGTCTGGACATGGTCCTGGACAACTGGCTGTAGGTGGCCCTTCTTGAGAAAGGGATGGGTTAGATGATCTCGAGAGGTCCTTTGAATCCTCAAGCTTTCTGTGATTCAGAAGCAATGGTTAATTGCTTTTCATATTTTCAGTTCCTCTAGTTTCTCTAGAACTTTTAAATAATCCACTGTCTGGTCTAATGGTGACATGAATCACTGGTATTTCGACATTGACTTGTGCTATAACGCTGGATTGTTCTTTAGAAGCTACTACCTGCCTTACAAGATTGCTAAGATGGGAAATGTATTGCTCAAATTCTTACTATATCCTTCCTCTCCACATTCTCTCTGAAAAGGATCTCTGAGATCCTCAGAAACCGTGGAAATGTAACAAGGTTTATATAGCCAATAGCTGCGTGCATTTTGAATATACAAAAAGGCAACCTGGAATATACAAAAATACAACCTGTTGTACTTTGTAAGCTTTGGTGGTACTGCTGTGTGTTTTTAAAACTGATTTGTTGCTCTACACTGTGTATTTTTCTGCTTATGAATCTCTTACTAATGAAAAAATCCAGACCAAGAAACTCACTTTTTGTAGTGAGAGCTAAACCAGTGAGTAAAGCAGTGGAGGACATTAATTTTCCAATTCCAATCACACAGAGTAGTAGAAATTGCAAGCAGGATGCCTATTGTAGATATGCTTGCAGGGGTTTAGACTGAGCTGAAAGGAAGAAAGTGTTTACAGGGATCTATGTTCTTATAGCTGATCCTACTTGGATCTCAGTTTCAATTTGAACTCCCATTAAAGTGTATGAATCACCTTCTTGAAGTTGTTTGACATTTCAGTTGCTTGCTGAATCAGCAATATGCTCTGAATATGTATGAACCATTAAAGACTAAAACGAGCCCAGGACTAAGAGTAAAGACCAAGACCAGGCTGGATGGGGCTCAGAGTAACGTGGTCTAGTGGAAGATTCCCTGCTTATGGCAGGAAGGTTGGAACTAAATGATTTTTAAGGTTGCTTCCAACCAAACCATTCTATGTTTCTATGATTGTATGATTCTATTGATCCAGTATATTTGTATTGTTATATGCTCATCTGTAGCTATCCAAAGGTATATCCATATCTATATTAATAGATACATAAATATATATTTGTATATTTATGTTTGGAAAGTTAGAGTATGGGGTAATTTAAAAATCTGAGGACAACTGAATTCCTTAATCTCCTACCTTTCAGTATTTTGTCATGAAATCATTGTTGTAATTAATACTCAAAATTTCCTTTAGTCATGGACTGGAGTTCATACATTGCTTTGTTCAGAGTAAGGATAAGCAGTATGCCCAACCTGGAGCATCTTACAAGGCCTAGATTATTTTATTTATATTGGAGAAATCTAAGCAGAGAACTCCAGAGAAGTGTTTGAAGAAGGATGGAGAAAATGGTATAGCATTTTAAATTCACATAGGGAATATGAATTTCGTTGTTTTCTTTTGACATGTAGAGATTAACTGTAGGAGAATCTATTGATGTCATGTCTCTTACACACTCAGCAAAAACATTCCAAATAATAGGCTGCTTCAGAAAGGTGAATCATCACATTCCAACATCACCACCTTTCAACATTTTAAAAAACACAAATGCTTTGCTTAAAGTATCTTTTGTGTGTGTGTAGACAGAATCCCCTTACAGTCCCGAATAAATGTGTATACATTCTGAAGATGGATAAATTGTAGGATATATTCTTGTTGGCTATCAAGGTAACTTATGACCTTAAGCTAAGACAAGGACAATGCAAATTAAATATTGAAAAACTTTTTTTGAAATTATCGTGGTCAGACATTGAAATAGTTTGCCCAGAAAGGTGGTGGAGTCACCATCCCTGGAGGTGGTCAAGAGGTGTCTGGATCTGGCACTGGGTGATGTAGTTTAGTGGTTTAGGGGTAATAATGTGATTATTATCAGTCATAATGTTGGACTGGGTGATCTTGAAGGTCTCTTCCAGCCTTGACAATTCTATGATTCTTCTTGGTGATTCCATTAGATCTTTCTGAATTCTCACCATGCACTATCCAGGTTACTGTGCAGACCTAGCAGACAAGGATTGTGGGATTCTATCCCACATGGGGATTTTGAAAACTGCTTGTCATTTAAAGCATTCCCAAGACCTAGCATTATGTATCTATACTGGCCTTGTGAGCAGAGCTCAGGCTGCCTGCAAATGCCATGTGTGCTGGCATTGTTTTTTTTCCAAGATGAAATACATGTGTTCTGTCATGGATCTCTGAATAAGTAACTTGAGCTAAAAGAAAAAAACCTTCATACATTTCGAGTCATGTTTAAAACTAAACTTTAAAATATGTCTGACCTAGCATCTGAAGATGAGCAAGCAGTGTTTTTGTATGCAACTTACTGAAGTCACAGTTTTTTCCAAATCTGCATTTTGTGATTTTGTGACTTCAGTTTTAATATAAACATTGCTGTGCTAAGCAAATTAAAACAAGGAAATAATACTTCTTTTTCATTGTCAGAAATGTTCCTTACCTTTTAAATACAATTTTTTGTATTTCAGGAAAAAAAGAGATTGAATTTTTACATATTCATTGCTGATTTCTTTATATCATCTCACCAGCACATGATAGAATTAGTAGCACATTACTTGTTTAGTGAGTAAGCAGAGAGTATCATTATTTGTCTGTATGCCTGGAAATGCTGAAAGGTTAATTGCTTTACTCAAAAGCAAAAATAGAATTGCCAGTATGGTATTGATATGTTGTTTATCCATTAAAAAAAAATTGTATTTTTTTTCTTCAACAGATTACTTGGCTTCTACAAAGGAATACTTCCTCCTGTCCTGGCTGAGACACCCAAAAGGGCAGTGAAGGTAAAAACCCCACGCTTCCTCTCTTAAAAATATAAGTAGGGACAATGGCAGCTGTAAAACATTTTATTTCTCCCCCACTGACTGAGATTAGAATCTTAAACTTATTTGGCATATTAATCCTCTGATTTTTACTAGGAGGAAAGTTTCCTGTTGATAGCACAATAAAAACTGTCCTTGATTAAGAAATGTAGGATAAGGCTCGTAAATGTTAAGCTAATTTTGACCTGTGTATCAAATGTTACTGAAAAAAATAGTTGCAATTATTTTATATTGTCAGAATTAATAAAATAGTTTAAGTTATATTTTAGCCTCATAATTGCCTCTGCTTTAAATATTTTGTTTTACTGAAAATGCCTAGCAACTTGCAAAACAACTAACAGCTTAATAAATTAACACAAGAAGCCATTAAAGAAGCCACTAATAAGTACTTATTTAGTAAGTTTGAAGTGCTGCCCATTTTTCCTGTGCTCCAAAGAACACTCTGCTCCATACTCTAAGTTTTTAAGAGATTGAAGATGGTAATGGATACAACTCCTCACTGTGCAAAACATTTTACTCCAGCTTTCTTACAGTTATAGATGCTAGCCTATCAAAGTATATTTTCTGTCAAACGCTGATCTGATATTCTTTTATTATCCTTAATTTTGATTTGTAGAACAGGATTTTAGTAACATTCCTAAGCAAAATACTTCAATACATCAATTTTTCAGTTGAGCCATTCAACCTTTTTAATTAAAACCTAATTATTAAGCACATCATCCTAAAGTGCTAAATCTATCAAAGCAGCCATTGTGTTAAGAGTAAATGTTTCTTAGTCTACTTCAGAACTTTGAAGTTTCCATAGTTGCACCAAATGTATATAAAGGCAGTTATTATACAGAATGTCTTGATTTTCCTTTCTTTCTTTTTGTTGTTTTTTTCTGAAAAGGCTGCATATGATTCTGGTCCTTAGTCTGCAATTAATCATTCACATTCCAATTCCTTTACAGAGGAATAATATTTGTATAAAGTGACAGGATGTGACCTTGTAACAGAATCCCAAAGGAGTTCTGGTAATGTCATCTTCTTGTTTGCACTGGCATTTTAGATGCAAGTGACATATGTCACTTATCTCAAAATTATTTAATAAAATCAGGAAAACTAAAGTCCTGTTTAATGGCAAAGTGGCACTTAAGAATAGATGGATGATATTTAGATTTCTAATAATTAATTTTCTTCATATTATGATGTTTCCTCTGTCTCTCCGTTTAATTTCATTTGAAACAGGATAAAGTGAATCTGACTGTGCTTTTAAATTCCAGCATGTATTTAGTTAAAAATAATAACCCAAGTTGGATTTCTCCTACCAATCTGAGTCATTCATAGATTTCAACTCATTTTCGTTTATCAAATTGATTAAATTGGCTTAAACCCCATGATATTCCATATAATTATAGTCATAAAAAGATGTTAAGTTGGGAGGGTTCTCTGATCAAAGCAGAGCTGACTTCACGGTTAGACCAGGTCCTTCAGATGCCTTGTCTAGATGTGTTCTGAAATCTTAAAGGACAGAGACTGCAGCCTCTCTGTGCTCCTCCTCCAGTCCTCAACTGTTTCACTGTGAAGAATTTGCCTTATATCCAGTCCAAATCCTCCTGTTGCATCCTTTATGTGTTGCCTCTCACACTTCTGTCGTTGGGCTCTGAGAAAGTCTGACTCTCCTCTGTATAAACCTTGGATGGTGGAAGACAGAACTTAAATCCCCTGAGCTTTCTTGTCTCCAGGCTAAGACTCAGTTCTCTCAAACTCTTGTACATCAAAAACTCACAGCTCCTTTAATGTCTTACTTTTCCTCTCTTAGTGGGATGCTTTCAACCTAGTTCTTGGACATTTATGTGAGAGCTGGGTTTTCTGCAAACATGAGAATCAAGCTTAAACGTTAAACATGTGAGGGTTTTAATTAAATAGTTGAATTCTTTTATTATTTACACTATTCATTTAAATTTACTGCTGTTCCAAGGACATCAGGATGACTTTAACTTACCTTGAGATATCAGCTGTATTCTACATTAGAAGAATTCAGCCACAGAACAGGGCTGAACAATAATGTCCTTGTAAGAACCTGTATAATAAAACAATTCAATGTGAGATGTCATAGGCCAGTACAATTTTTAACATCCAAAGTGGAATCTGTACCCATGCTTTGACCTGAAGAGAATCCAGCCTATCATCAAATTTCCACTAACCTTATTTGGCTATGACCCCAAAGGAAAAGTTTTCCATGTTGCTTCCTTTGGCCCACTCTCCAACCTTTATTCTTCTAATAATATTCCTCATCTAAACCAGCCTCAAGCTGTCCCTTCTCCATGTCTAAAGGACTAGTGGGATTTAGAGGAAGACTACATTCAGGCCAATGATTCGGAGATATGAGAAAGCACAAAAGGAAAATAATTTTCTTGGTTCCAGTAGGAGTTTTTTATGTTTGTAATGAACTTTTTTTGAAAGCTTCTAGTTTTAGTATCATAAAAGTTAGACAAGGGAGACTTTGTACTAAGAAGAAATGTACTTGTGCTGCTGGAACATTGTATTTATCTGGTGTCCATTTTTGCAAGTAAAAATAAAGCTATTAAAATGCAGTTATTTTAATAACTTTAAATAGTTAAGTGTTGAAGATACAGGTTCATTTTTAGTCAACTGTGTTCTCATGTCTGTCTTGCTATTTCTTTTTTTCTCTTTTTATTTCCCTTCTAAAAAGAAAGCTGGTATTTCTGGAAGATGAAAAGTCAAAGTTTATAACTTTCTGTTAGATTGAACTTGGAGGAAAGAAATGATGATGCCAATACAATGGTTAACAGATGAACTTTTGGGGCAAATTTATATTGCTCATGTGTTCCCAGACATCTTGTTTCAAGCATATATTTTTATCTTAGAGTTATTGAGACATCTGGTAAGTACTTTGGCTATTTTCTGTGTAACTTCAATTAAAGTGTATCTTTGCCAGATGGACAATATTGGTTATTATATACACAAAAGCATGTTTTAAATACGTTTATTCTGTGAATTTCTTTTTTTTGCATAAAGCTATTAACTTAATACAACTGTAGAGGAAAAGACAAATTATGCTATGTTTTTAAAAACGTTTTGGGTGGATAAAGTCATATGATGTAGTATAAAATCTTTTTTTCTTTTTTTTTTTTGCAAAATAGTATATATGCTAGCCACTCTAGTACACCAGCAACATTTATATTAAACTTTATTGCTATTTTTTTTCTTTTAAAAATTATTTAAAGCATAGTTACTATTGAGTAGTTATTTTATTTATGACTCTAGGAAGCTATTGATTTTTAAGGTAACATTTTAAAGACCAAAAAAATTGCTAGGTAATGTAATTCTTCCTTTATTACAACTATTTTACAGATCTCTAGCACTATGGAAAACATTAAGGAATACCAGAAATTCCATTAAAGGTTAAGAGGGTAACAATGACTAGAACGATGCTGGAGAGAGAATAAAGCAAATTTTATCACAATAAGAAATTAATTTAGTTCAGTGAAGCAGCTTACCCTCCCACTTTGTCAGACTTTTACCTTTATTATACCTTCAGTTGTCCAAAAAGATGGAGCTAGAGTTTAAGTAACACTTATATCTTTTTTGGTTATTGTCAAGGCCAATGCAAAAATTTTAAACATATTTGCAAGATGTTTGCAAGATTAATGTTCAATCTGTACACTCTTTGGAGGGCAGTTAAAATCTGGGCCCCAGTTCTAGGACCTTTTCTGCACAATGATATAATAATCCCAACTGAGGGTATAAAAAAATATCCGTCCAGTGATCAGAGTATCAGCCCATCAGTTTTCAGAATTTAACAACCCAATTTTGCATTATGAATATATATTCCCTCTTGCTTTAAAACAGTGGCATTATTAGCACGTTAACACTCAATTCTCTGATGGTTTTGGTATGATTCCAGTGACTTTTCATTTAAAGCAGGTCTTGATTGAAAAATGTTATTGACTTTGCCGTGGGACAAGGTTCTAAACAAGTTCAAATGAAAACGTGGTGCTTATTACTTATGTTCCTGTACACGTGGTTTATGGAATAGCTGTTTTGTTCTGATAGATCTGTAGTACTGAACCATGGGGGACAGAGCTTGTCTTCTTTGGCTGAGACTCAGCACAGGCCACACAGTCTTTCTGACTTCTCTTAAAACCTCTATTCCCTTATGATTCCCATGTCTATTGGCCTCATTGCTCATAACCTTCCTCTTGTGGTGAAACAGTTTGATTGTCTCGTGTGTGGGCAGATACTGTGCAAAGGGATTGTAGCCTCCCCTGTGGTCACAAAATTCACAGACTTTCCAAGGATCCCACCTTCATTTGAACCAGCTTGCTCTGAACTAATCAAATGCTACAGGTCAATCTTGGAAAGCACAGAAAAGTTAAAAGTTCTGGCTATTTACTTTTGCTAGACAACTCTTGTACTAGGAGATAAGAACCTGCACTGATGCAGTCTTGGTGGAACTGTGTCAGGTTTTTGTTCTTCATTCCCATCATACTAGACATGCTGTGTAAAAGACACTTTATTTTGTACGCAAAGACGTGAATATTTCTTAGACAGATTACAGGAGTCACAAATAGTGAGCTGTGGTTAGGGGCCTTGTGTTGTTCCATGTGTGAAAATTATGTGGAATAACACCTCCAATACTTTTGGTTTTACCCAGAATTCAGATACCTATTCTTTTTAGCCCACAAGTTCTGCCATCCTCATGCTAGAAGATCATTTTCACTGCACTCAGGTCTGTTTTATGTGATAGGAACTGGACTGCTTTTTCAGTGGCTTCAGCAACATGTTTTCAGGATATGAATTTAAGACACTATGGGGTTTGTTCTATGATCTCCTTCATAAACATATCAAACTCTCCCCTACAAGTCATAAAGATTTTTTCCCCCGTTGTTCTTATTGGAAGACTGTTTCAGGACTCTACTCTTTTAATTGCAAGAAAGCTTAATCAGATCTCCAACCACATTCCATTTATGTTTTGCTTTTACACCTAATTTCTTTATGTTACGTATCTTCCTTGTTTTTCATTCTCTTGCAGTGTCTCTTTTGCAAACTAAACAAGGAAAGCATTTATTCTCCTGTAGTCTTCATTCTTATTTATTATATAGAGATTATTTTTAATCTTTAAGTTCTCCTAAATGGCCCTGGTAGCCTTTTTTTAATGTGATGTAGTCTGAGTTGTTGTTTTTTAAATAGTGGCCTAGATTGTGTGCTATATTTCAGAGGGCATCTTCCCGATAATTTGTGAAATGTCACATATACTCTTTCTTTAGAGTATATCTTGACCCATGCATCTTAGACTTGGTGTCCACAGACAAGGAGCTAGGCAGTGAGTCTGTTTCCCTATGCCAACAGGAAGCTTCCTACTGACTTCAGTGCAGTCAGAGTTATTCTAAACCTTATTGGAAGAACAAATCCATTAATTTATTATGCTTGGATTTTTATGAGAATTCACAGAAAATTAATGGGTTTAGGTGTCAAGAAATGGCAGGTAACAAAGTGAGCCATTTGCAAATGATTGCCTTTCACCATATTGGTGCAGGTGGAGCTGATCTTATTTCTTTCTTGAAATTCCAACACCCAAGAGTACAGCTTTCAAAGCATCCTCTAAGGAATTGCAGATGCTCAGAATTTTGAAGTGCCACTGTTTGAAAGCAGACAATTGACTGAAAGATTTATTTGTAAAGAGAGAACAGAAAAAGAAATGTGTCTCTTGACAGTAGAAGATTATAAAAATGACAGACTTTCAATCTTCAAAATCCACAATTATATCTCTCTGATTAGAAGCAGACTGGTGTTTGAAAAATGCAAAAGTAATTGCAGCACATTACATTAAGGATGTGGGGGTGATTTCTTGAGAAAATTGGTATATCTGCTACTACATTTAAACTGGTATATGAAAGTTAATGCCAGAGGAAAAGTTTATAACTTTAAAATATGCCCTATATGATGTAAGTTAACTCTTAGATAAAGCCTTACTTGAATTGCATGTATGCTGCTATTATGCATGACACACTAACAAAATCAGTTCTGAAGCCTGATGGTCTACTCTTGCACATCTCACACTGCTACAGAGAGTGTGAAATAAAAGTGGCTTACGTTTATTTTGCAGAACTGCATGCAGCTGCTCAGGATGTGAGGTATTGAAACTCCATTGTAGTCTGCTTTTTACTAATTTGCATAAGTAACTAATAATTTTTTTCAATTCAATTTCAATCAAACTTCTATTCACAGTTTTTTACCTTCGAACAATACAAGAAGCTACTGGGATATGTGTCATTGCCACCAGGACTGGTATGTATGGATACAGAGCTTCATGTTCTAATGTAGTCTGTGTCTGCTTCCTCCCATAGAAGCCCAAAATTAAAGGGTCCAGCTCAATCCAGAGTTTTTCAAAACAGACTTGTTTGAAATAAGAATTATCAAAATTGATAAATTATGTTTTATATCAAATAATTCCCTATAATGTCATAACATTTGTTAACATGGATAACGACAGCCACCATGGAAGATTCTGTATACCGCTTGTCATTCTTCATTCTTACAAAATGACAAAAATGTTGAACGTTATCAATATTTATTTATTCATGACATAGTGTCTAGTTTAACACTTCAACCTCAAAGTGCTATTCTCCAAGCCACAGTACAATCATAACAAAAATACAGATCTCAGTCTTATTTTAAAAACTTTATAAAAGAAACATAAATTATTGATAAGAAATTGCTACTTCCTTTGAAGGAAATGGAGAAAATCTCTTGTTCATCAGTGGAGTTAGGAATTCATCTCAAGAAATAACTGGTTTAAAAACAAAACGCAGGGCACATATATATATATATATACACAGAAATGTTTTAATGCTAAGATGTAGCTTGCATGTGTAATCTGCATTCTCATGTGTAGATCTTGATTTTGCTGTTATGCATTAGGAGTAAAGTACTTTTTATAAGAACTACTGCTTCCTGTGGTACAAGAATGTAAAGCATAGTAAATATCTATTTTTCACAATGATGACATCACAATTTTAGGAAACAACTGATCTTTTTAAGGCTGTGCTATAAAGGTTTTGGTAATTTCAAAGTTTCAAAATTTTCAAAATACTCTTTTAAAGAGTATTGCTTCCATTCATATTTTCCTTTAATTGCAGTGAGTGAATGGTCATGGAATTCTATTAACTAGGTTAAAGCAAGTTTCCTCTTCTTAATTATTCCACTGGCCTTATAGCTGTTTGCAGTCTCTCCTACTTTATCTGGTATTTTTCACCAGTTCTCATCCTTAGGTGTATATAGAGAGACTGATACTTGTTCTCTAGCAAGAGGAAAGAACAGAGCTGAAGGTTCTATGGAACCCCAGCACTTTTTGGAGGGAAGAAAAATAGGCTGAAAACTTGTAAACATGCAATAGCTGCCCAAAAGCTGCTCTGATTCATAGAACAGATATAGCAATGCTTAGAAAAATTAGAAACCCCTCATATTTTTGGTGCAGTACTGTTACTATAGAGGCATTTTTGGTCCTAAAGTAGTGAGGGGAAAAGAAGGCTGAGGGGGATTCTGGTCTAAGCCAGGTAGAATGTTTCTAGGTACCTTAACAGACCTCATATCAAGGCAGTATTTCTTATTAAAAGACAGATGCATACATTAGTGCCATCTTCCTACTGGCTTCAGTCTCATGGTTGATGATGAAATGTTCCCATCTTACTGGAAAAATCAATTTGTTGGTAACACAATCTTCTCCAAAAGCAGCAAGACTGGAGTTTGCCACTACCCTTCTAACTTTCCATTCCTCTCTTTCTTGAGCTCTCAGGAGTCCCTGCTCAAATTCCTCTGTGTTAAGTAAGTTTTTTTTCCAGTATTGTCTTTTCCCTTACTATTGGTTTCTTTGAATTTCAGCAAATGTATTCATTATAATGTATTTTGGTCCTGGGACTGTTTTTTCAGCAGCTATAGAGTTTGGGGATGTTAAGTGAAGGCAATAAATGTGTAAGGTGATCATTAAATTTAACCTCTCTGAATTTTCGCAATTGACCTAAATATTTTAATACTATATTTTGTTAAAAACAAATTAAGGTATCTTAAAATGCTGTGCCATGATGGAATATGCAAAGCAAAGCAGGGAATATTTCCTTATCTATGATTGAAATGCCACCAGCTTCTAAGTAAATGGAGTTAATTCATCCTTGGATTGAATCCTGACGTTTCCCTGTATGCCACTCATTCCCATACAAACCTTTCTAGGATTGCTTACTAGGTGAACATTCTACTTGTGCAGTTTGCTTAAGTACTGAACTATTTTAGTTTTTTACATGTATTTTTAAGTTAATATGTTAGTGTTATGAGCTTAATGCTCAGTTCAGAGATTTAATTTTTTCCATTTATGCATAACTGCACTTATATTTGTGTTATTATTCAGAGTCCACCCAAAGATAACATGAGGACATTCTTTTTCCACATCTTCCATGTTTGCATAATAATTTGGTACCACATTTTCCCTTCCAGCTGAAAAGAGAATACATGGACATGGAGTGCTATGACATTTTGTTTTGATTGTTTTGGAATATGGTTTATGGCTATTGTCATATTGTCTTCATGAACTGTCAGCATCTAATCAAGGGCTAAAGTTGTTTAGCAATAGAATACTGCTGCATTATTGTAGTTTTGCAGTTTGCATTGTATCCCTCAGTTTCACAATCTGATGTAGAGGAAATTTTACTCCTTAATATTTCATTTTCATTTTAACTTTCCTAGGCATTTGCAGTTGCTGGCTTGGGCTCTGGGTTGACAGAGGCAGTTGTGGTTAACCCATTTGAAGTAGTGAAGGTTACCTTACAGACCAATCAGAATGCCTTTGCAGAGGTAGGAAAACTGCTTCATTCTCTTTTTTCCACTTTATTGGGCATAATGCACGTCAAGGTTCATATTTAGAGCAGAATGTCTGTAATATATTGGTGGATGCAAATGATTTTCCCCACAAGCTTAGCAGAAACAAAAACGGAAGAGCCCCAACAGACAGTGGCTTCAGGCATGCAGAGATGCCTGCAGTATTGTCAGAGGCATCAGCATCTCCACTGTGAATACTCTGTGCCTGAAATGCACCTTCATCCCTCCCAAGCAGCCAGCAACCCAGCACTGTGAGGAATTGTATCCAGGGGTACAAACCTGAGCCCTTGTACACAGCACATTTACCCCAGCAGGCTCCAGATTTCAAGTGAGCACTGAAGTTAGCATAAAACACCACGGCCCTGTGCCCTAGACAGAGTCCAGCTGGTATATTTTACACTGTTTCTTGGATGAAACTTTTATTAACACAAACTGGAAAATTGTTATATAACAAGTACATTGATAATTTAAATTCTTGCTTCACTTCAGTTTTGTTATTCAAATATTGTTTCATCCGGAGAATACATTGTGCAAAACATTGTCCATGATTCTGGGTACTGCTGAAAGGGGAAAAAGATTAAACTGGAAAACAGTGATTCATTAAAATCAAGTGTTCTCAGGAATGCACTAACTTCTATTAATTTTAATGCAGAAGGTGTTCCAGGATAAAGTGAGGAAGGCAGTAATACAGTTCCTTTTTTCTTTTTCCTCTTTGAATAAAAATAACAGTTGTCAAATCATCTTTTTCAAAATCTTTTGGGAAATCAGCAGTACCATGGTAGAAGTGCCAAATCACATAAGCATCACATAAAATGGTTGGCTGAATTGCTGGTGGGACATGACTTTTGCATATTCTACTGTTAAGTTTTGACTGAGTTAATACTTGCATGCCTTTTAGCACTCATCTGCAGAAACTGAACACTTTTGGGGGATGCACAGTAAAGAGATTTATGACCTGGGCATTTACGTAATCTGTTTGGGCCAAGCTCCTCAGGTAAATTCTGGAAAAATACAGCTACTGATTTCCAGATGTCATAGAGTAATTGGTACCTACTCCATAACTCATCCAGAAAAGCATTTTCTTCCAGAATAAATTTTAAAATATTTGGTAAACTCCTGTTCAATTCTCAATGCATATGAAAGACATGTTTATTTGCTGCAAGTCTCCAGTCTAGACATTTTTTAAACTTGGGCAGCAAAGTCCCTAAACAGATAAATAATGCAGGGCAAGAGTAAAATGTTTAGGATCCTGGAAGGAGAGAGACTGAAAGTAGGAAAAAGCAATGTGTGAGAGGATCTGTCTGTCAAGAAGATGATGTGATAAAAATTATGAGCTATTACTGGTCCTGCAGTAGTGAACTAAGCAGATATTCTGGATCTTTCTGCTTCACAGTTGTGAAGATGTAATTATCCTAGTTAAAAATCCCTCTGCTTTTAAATATAAACAAACCACAGTTACATTTTTAACAAACTGTTCCTTATAAAGTTGCAAAAGACCAATGTATTCTTTCACTTCATACATTTTAATTTTTTTCTCTACTGAAAAATTTATAACAGAGTCTGGGGTGGTCTAGCTGGTAAATTTTAGCCAGTTACTTCATTTAGTTACTGCATCCTTTCCTTGGTGACCATCAGAATACAACCATAATCAAACTGTAGCTGTCCAAAAGCATTCTGAGTTGTTCAGGTGAATATTCTCTAATTTAATTTAAATGCAAAATTTCACAAAATAAATAAGAATAGTATATTATTATACAAATAAAATTGTGACAGAATGGTATTTAGACTCTGCTAGAAATCCAGTTTATATTGAAAATATTAACTACTTTTTCTAGGGAAAAAAATCCAACGGAAATTAAGTTTTTAAATCATGAAGATTGTTATATCACAGACATATTAATTTTTAATATATCTTTTTAAAGTGTTAGAGCTTCAAAATTTGCTGTAAATTAGAAAAAAACTACAGTGACTTTATACCTTGACATCAAGTTTTTCATTAAGAAAATGTTGAAAAACATTCCACAATAAAGCATGTAAACTCAAGCCCATTGGAAGAAGCATGTCCAGGGGTTATATTATACAGCATAAGGCATTACCATGCACTGCTTTTCTAAAAGGTTTAAGTGTGTACCTATCCCATTGTGAAGCTTTCATACTACATGATGAAACCTAATGCAGTTCACATATTTCTTTGACTATTGTATAGAAATAATAAATATATCTTGTTTAAAAGGAACAAGGAAGAGCATGAGCACATACACTCACACCCAGACTCCAGCACACCCCCAAAGCAAATATTCACACCCTGCAGTGACAGCTGAATTGTTCTGTGGTAGCAGATCATCTTTCGAGGGTTGATAGATTTAAAGAGGAAAGCCACTATAAATCACGTATCAGCCCTTTTGTAATGTGGATTGCTGTGGGTAAAAATAATGGTGGCTGTTTGTTAAACTGCAAGCAGTCCAGTGCCATGTTGTTTGGTTTTCCTTTTTTTCTCCTTTTCCCTGTAGCCCTGAGTAGTTCACTGGCTATAGAAGCTGGTATGATGATTAAAATCTTCTCACCTGACATAAGAGTTATGATTAATTAAACCAATACAATTTTCTGCTTTATGATGAGAAGAATCTGGCTCCAGATTCCACTGAGTAGGTCTATATTAAGTAAAAGTCAGCAGCTATGTGAAGTGCATTAACTCCAGGTGTTTGTACAATAAATTCCTCTGTCTAAGGTCCTTCCATCATCCATGATGAACCACAGACCTTCTATGGCTTGATCAGTTGACATGATGACACCTCCTGTGGTAAAAGGGAAGTGCTGCCAAAGAGAGTCCTCTTTGTTGCTAAAAGACTGAAAAGGGAAGTCAGGTGTAGACATTACAGGTGTCTATATTTGAATTTATTAATCCCATCTCAGGTGTTCAGCAAGTGGCATGCTTCCCCTCTGAATCATGAGTAAATCCATATTCAAGAAAAGGGATACCAAGGGATACCTTAATATTGAAGGTTTCTGTATTGTTTCTTAAAGGTCTAATGTCCATTTTTGGAGCACAAAAAAAGATATTATTGCTAGTATTCAAGTTTAGTATCTCCATTTTAGAATAGATTCTGACTTGAATTCTTGGGAGTAGATAGAAAAGTAAGCTCTAGTAAAATATATGCAGAGCATTAACAGGATAATATTAGTTATGAAATATGAAAAAACAGAATGAAACTTTGTATTAAAGATTAAACTCATCAGTAACCTAAATAAGTAGTCATATGCTGTTTCAGACATAGTAGCATCATTATATAGTATAGCATCATTTGGCTGATGCTGTTCATCTACCACAGTGATATTTTGAAATGGAAAGCTATTAAACAAATAAGTATATTGAAATTAGTGGTATTCACAGTGGTGTAGTCAAAATTCTTTTATATTTTCATGTTTGAACCTCCTAGTGGAAGTCATGTTTTGCCTTTCTAATTATAGATTTGGTTACCCAGAGCTTTTTGGCTTTATGGGGTTTTTTGGCTTTATGCTTTGGAGAAATCCAAACTCTATTCAACAACTTTTTGAAAGTAATGTTTCTATAATGCTGCTAAAAAATGTGAAATATTCAGAAGGGGAATGTGGTTACTGCACTGCAAAGGGAGAGAAAGGACAGCAACACACACGGACCTCTTTGGGGAAAAAAGGCCAACTTTATTGTACGGACAATAAATAAATACCTGTATTTAAAGTGTGTTACATGCAGCTAGGACAGGACAGTAGCTCGTTGGACAACTTGGAAACACATCCCTGGGACAGTACCTCAGGATGAATCCCACGGGAAAGACACCAGGTGTTAATCTTTATTATGAATTCCACTCTGTTTTTCACCATATTATCACCCTGGGAGACTTCCTCCCTAACTGAAGGTGTAGTCAGCTTGTCAGCCTGGGAATGGACCTGAGAGTCAGGAGAAATCCAGGCCTGAAAAAGAATTTCCAAGCTGTAATTCCCTAGCTCTCTGAATGTGTGTGTCCACAGGGGAATAGCTAATTCTGAATATCACGGTATATTCAAAAAAAGATCAATGTTGCATGTAGTCAGGCAGATTCTGTCTGATATGAGGCAGTTTCTTTCTTTTTGCCTTTTATGAAATGGAAATCTGTTACAGGACTACTCTTTTATGGTACTCAAGTCTGCTTTCATCTTATTCTGCAAACAGAAAAATGAGTAATCTTTTTTTAATTAAAGTTGTGATTTTTATATGGTCACAGGAAAGGGAAAATAACAGACACGGTGATGCTTAATATAAAATTGCAAGAATTTGCAACACTGTGTTTGTCAGCAGGATGGAAATGATGCTATGTTTATTGTTTTCTTTTTGTAAAGCTGATCTCTTCCTTCTTTTGCTTAACTTGTGCAGCAACCATCGAGCTTTGTTCAAGCTCAGCAGATCATTAAAACCGGAGGTCTGGGCTCCCAAGGACTCAACAAAGGCCTTACTGCCACACTGGGCCGTCACGGAGTTTTTAACATGGTTTACTTTGGATTCTACTTCAATGTGAAAAACATTCTTCCAGTCAATAAGGTAAGTTCTTCATATAGAGCAATAGACAATCAGAGAAGAAGTTTGACATTTTAATTCACACTCTATTTTTCTGTGCAAAGCTGTGGTATTTAGTGATAAACACTGACTAACCTAGATCTGTTTTGCAGAAATCCATAGTATTTTAATGGAAGCGAGTTAAGGACTTGATCTTCTCACTTTTTAAGCAAAGCTGAGTGTAGTCATATTTGAATTATGATTTTTGTGAATTTCCCTTTATAGCGTGGTAGCAGTGTGAAAAGGCAGCAAATGACATACAGACATGTTGTGCTTATGTTAAGTATGTATGCACTTTTTTTTGTGTCAAACTGGCTTAGAAGAGAAAAATCAGTTTCTAGAACTTCTGTCAGTATTCACAAAGAGGCCAAGCTTGCAGAGGTGACCGAGCTGCAGTATGTAGGTTTTTCTGGCCAGACACTGGACCTATTTACTCAAAAGAGAGTTCAGCCTAATAGTGAAGGATGACAGGGAAGTTTCATCCTTATGGGAGCGAGACAGTCCAAAACAGGCTGTGAAGGGTCATGTATAGGGACTTTGTATCATTTATAATTAAAGAAAAAAAATCATTATAGCTGTAATTTCACTTAAAGAAATTCAGATTTCTTTATCCTATATCACTTTAAATAACAAAGGAGGCAAGCATTCCCTTTACAACAGAAGGTAATTTTACTAATGAAAACGTAGTAAAATCAGCAACTTTCTAAATGACTGTGAGAAACAATTAATGATTTATTAATGATTCCAGTATGCTACTTATTGAAGTCTGTTTTCACTAATGTGATTTTTAGATGATGACAGTTAAACAGTCACAGGTGTAATATGTAGTGATATACATGTAAGAAGGTGCAATTCACATCAAAAGGGATCGGTTTCTATTCCCAGATGAAGTAACACCTCTTTTTTTTCTGCACTTCTGAATAGCCTGGTATTTTTGTTGGCAGTGTTGTATAAATGGAGAAAAGCTCCACTTCTTATTTGCAGATTATTACAGTAAATTGAATTGTTCAAGAGCAGCTGACCCACAAGTTTCTACAAGTTTCTTACAGTGTATCTAAGCATATTTTACAGTGTACTTTAGTCACACATTCTAAAAACTCAAGGCACAAGCACAGCTTGTTACTAAGATAGGAGTAAACACTTTTGTGTTGATCAAAAGATTTAAAAATTATAATCACTATGCAGAAAATTCAGGAAAATATGCAGGTAAGGACAGAGACTAGTGTGCAGCTCCTATGGGGATCATGGGAAATATTATTGCATAGGAATTGAATAGTCATAGTATTTGACATAAGCGTGTTTTCCTAGCCTTTCAGATTTAAAAAATAGGAAACAAGTATTGCATTATTAGAAATATTCAGAGCTTAATGATCTAAAGGAAATTAGTACTTTATACAGATTTTTTTTATGATGCAGAAAAATTTTAACATCTACAGCATGGATTTAAATATATGCAGAAAACAAAAGGGAAATTACTTCAATGTCAGCCAGTGGCCCAGCTATCCTCAAATATTAGCAAAATCAAGAGGCAATTGAATCAGTGTGGGATTAACTGCAAATAAATGGAGAGGTTTGCCTTGTGCTTGGCCAGTGCTCAGTGCCTTATATGGTGGCTTGCACAGTGGCTACATCTGTGCTAGTAAATGGAGCAGCAGCCCTGGAACTCAGCCCTCTGTACTGCTGGACACTCCCTGGCACAGCTTCATCCCTGGCCAGCCAGCACAGTTCCTGGGTGTGGCTTAGGGGCTGGTGAAGGCAAAAAACCCTTCCTAATGGGCTGGTTTCATGCAGCCAGTCTGTTCTGAATGGTGATAGCATTCTGTAGTGCTAATAAAGCCAAGAGGAGTCTCTAAGCCAGCCAGCATCGGTGCCACAGACAGTCTGTACAGAGACATATAGCTAATAATTCTGATCAAACTCCCATTAAAATCAATGCAAAACTAACCCTGAATTTAAGAAGACATAGATCAGGACTCATCTGTCTGGTGCTAGCCAACATTATGGCTCAGGTACTTACATGCATTGAATTTCACTTCAGTGACTGCTAAATGGAAGTATTTGACAATAATTTATGACCTGTAACTTAAACCTCTTCTGTCAGTGGGCAGGTACTAGAGGCTTAGAGTTATCAAACCTGTACAAGGAATTTGGTAGAAGCTGGCTTGCAGTTAGTCTGAAAAATATTAAAGTGCTTTTGTCTAGATTTCTCACATACCTGATTTAATTACAAGATCTATTTTGTTAACTTTGTATATATTGCCAGAAAACAAAGTCTTAAAGCCCGTCTTGTAATATTGACAAATATATAAAAATTATAACATATAAAAATTGTGAAATAAGAATACTACACTTGTGAAATAATTTTGACTATTAACTATATATCTGCTGTCCACCATCTGTAACATAAGTGGAAAATGTATGAAAGCCTCTGAATGAGCCTTTTAGCTGTCAGCTAAACTGTGCATTAAATTTGCATCCCAATTAGGGATGTTTGCTGCCTATTTTGCCAATAACAATAAATTTTGTAGGTTGAGTGGTCAAATTATATCAATGACATATGTGGGTTGTAAATGTCCATAATGAATAATTTTTCATATGTTCAGTCTGCTAAACAGACCATTTACAGCCAACCTTGTGCTCTGTTTACTGAAAATTGAATAAGCCAGATTTCTTTCAATGGCCACTAGTGTACCAACCATAGAGAATTAGCAGCTATGCCTCTGCCCTAGCAATAAAATTATTTTGCAAATAGTATCTACTTTTATAGTGCATTTTGTAGGTGCCCGGCAGCTTTCGCTTTGCAATTTTTTATCATAATTAGATTTGCTTTTAAACATTACTTTGATTAACGCCTTTGCTCACTACCACCTCCAAGTGGCTGCCACATTTCTTAACAGTGTGAAATTTCCTCACACCTGTTAAAAGCCCCCTTTGAAATGTGGCCAACTGCAAGACTCATTTCAAATTGGGCACAGCCAGCCCCCGCCACTGCAGATGTGCCTTTGGTACATCAGACCCTGGGTGATGAGCTGAGCAGTGCATTGCCTTCTAAGAGAAAGGGGCTCTGAACTTCTAGAGGCAAAGAAGAAACGGGAAACCCAAATGGGCTGTTCAGTTTGGTGAGTAATTAAAATAGCAGACAATAATTTTATTGCAGTAGGTTTCAGATCCATGCCAACATAGAAGTTCCATGTAGGAATAGAGAGTGAAAAGTGGATGTAGTGCAATGGACTTGAAGAAATAGTAAGCCAAGGTGATTTAGGTAAAGACTGGATCAGAATGAGTAGTGGAATAACCCCAGAGCCACTAAGCTCTGCTTTTAGAAAAAAAAAATATTTTTGAGTTTTGACACCTAAGTTTATATTGAATTTTTATGGTAATGAAATTACCCAGATATTACAGTGATTAATTTCATTGAAAAACCTTTCCCATAAGGTTTATGATAAAAAATCAAGTTATAGCAAAGCTGGTGTTGACTATGGTACATTTGGTTAGAGTTGAGTTTTGTGAATGGGCCAAATGCTTCAAAAGGGGTTTTCTTTTCTTCTCTACATACCAGAAACATTGACTTTATTCTATTTGCCTTTAAATCACTGTATGTACAGAATCAACAGAAATTTTTTGCTAAGATATTTGCTAAAATATGGCTACAGTTCTCATACTATAAGTGATTCTAAATTTTTTTAAGTTATCAGTACATTTCATGTTTTGTAAAATCAAGGTATTGGGTTTTTCTGCAAGTAATAAAGAGATCTGTTGATTTTGACATTTCTTTCTTAACCTCTATGGGTTTCGCCCAGTGTATATTATGGAAGTTTTAATTTTTTTTCTTGTTGCTAATCTGGAAATGAAAACTTGTTTCTTAGTTTCTTTTTCATTTAAAAACATACAAGTTTAGGAAACAAAAAACTGTCTTATTTTAACATTGTGCTGATGTCATAACATGGCAAGATCATTTGTTATTTTAATGATGATTTTCTATAATTAAAGCACCTTCATGACAGAAGTAAGCTGCATATAAGGTATCTGATGTAGCAAAAAAGTGTCCTTCCCTTGAAAACTGATAGCAAAACCAAATTATGTGCATAGGAAATGTTCTGGAACACACTTCCCTGTGACTTCCACTACTTAGAGAAATAGGATTAAACCTGCTTCAAGGGACTTTGACTCCCAGATAAACTCTGGGTTCTTTGATGTCCTAGAAATGCCAAAGTAGGAGGTCTTTCTAAAAGATCAAATAAAACCCAGTTGAACTGTGAACTGTGAGTGAGCGAAGAAGTTTTTAGATGCACTTCTAACCTACTTCTAACTTTTACCGTGTGCATATAGCAGGGTTCAGAAACAATCTGTTGTAAATTCTTCAGCCAATTAGCTGAGTGAATTACCACCGTTTATAATGCGCAGAACGTGGAGGCTCTCTTGCCGTTGTGCCGAGTTGGATTGTTAATAACAGGAAGCTAGCACTTCTCAGTACAGTGGATCAGCTACATGTGAAAATAAATGTAAAAAACCTGGAGGGGAATGGCAGCAGACTGAGATTAGTCTTTATTTAATTTAGCATTTGGGGGTCCAACACACAAATGAGTGTTTTAGTAGGCTTCATGGTGGAAGTTGCTGTCATTTGTAAAATATTCTGGCCAATTAGCTAATAGTGTGCTTGGATTTCTCCTGTTTTGATACAGTAATACTAAGTACATTGTGAAGCCCAATTATACAAATCATCCCCATATGCCGTACCAGTCTTTCTTTATGAACTGTGTTTATAAATCCTGTGTGAGGAAATGTGTACTTCAGCAATTTAGACCATGTGTAAAAACATAGCCAATAGGATTGTCAAGAAAACAAGTTCCAGCATAGGAAATCCTAATGTGTTCTGCTAAAATAACACGAGTGTGTTGTGTGAGTTTTCTGATTAAATGCTTATTACTTTATAGTGCTTAACCTGCACAGGTCTTTCCGTTTCCCTTTTTTATTCTTTCTTTCTCTCTTTTTTTTTTTTTTCTTTTGTAGGATCCAAATTTGGAGTTTTTGAGGAAATTTGGAATTGGGTTAGTCTCGGGAACAATAGCCTCAATTATTAACATTCCTTTTGATGTTGCAAAAAGTAGGATTCAAGGACCACAGCCAGTTCCTGGAGAGATCAAGTACAGAACCTGTTTTAAAACTATGGCAACAGTCTATAAAGAGGAAGGGTAAAACATTCTTATTTTAATAAATGTCCAGACCTCTGTTTTAGTTCATATGGGTCCATAAAACCACGTTGTTATATTTCGGATTTGACGAGGACCATTAAGCCACCCTGAACTCATATATCAAAACAGCCCAATGCAACATTTGAAAATTTATTTTAGAATTACAAGGACATATCTTCCTACTATATATGAACTTTTACAAGAGCCTTACAAGATGATTATTGCATTGTCAAAATGTATGCTCCCCAAGTAAATACTTCATATATCTAATGTGTAATTTTTTCAATTCTTCATTTTATAAAAGGAAAATATGAACAGAAAACAGACTATTTCTCAATTTAATCTGATTGTAATTATGCAGGCCTCTGTACTTTAAAATTATTGCTGAAATAATTAAACTGAGGACAGATCCTTGTGGTAATAACGTTTTCCAACTTTTAAAAATATTTCTCAAGTGGTGACTGAGTTGTGGCTTTGATATTCAATTATATCAGTCATTTTGTCCCTGTATGCAGCTGTTGTTAACAGACTTGTCTTGAAAGTAAACCCATCTCACTGATTAAAGTCATATTTCTGATTGGCTAGGCTCACAACATTGCTTTTGTGACTGAACATTGATTAACTTTTTCTCTTCATCTGATCTGCCTCTGTAAAATGTTAAAATCCAGATACAGCTTGCTATTGAACACGTGTAATTTCAAATAATTGCCTCTAAGTGCTCTGCCAGCATTTTAACAAACATATGCTACAATTCCGTTCTTCTTTTAGAGCAAGAATATTGTTTGAAATGTTGTGTTTGTTATTCTTCTGCTACAGATTTCTGGCTCTGTACAAAGGCTTGCTTCCCAAGATCATGAGGCTGGGTCCAGGTAATTTTCCTTCTGTCATTTCTATTTTGCTTTTGTTCTTGCTTTCTCTTCCCATTTTTTTCATTTTCTTGAGAAAATGTAGTGAATATCAGTCAAATAAATGAATCAAAATATCTTTCACTTTGAACAGTTTATTTTTAAAATAGCATCATCTAGTAGTACCACAGATGGATTTGGCTAAATATGTGTCTAAAAAAATCATTTACACATATACATCAGAGAATTGCAGATCCAAGTAATTGCTGGTTTGTGCAATTGTTTTATTTATGGACAAACCAAAGTACATGCAAATGACAGAACTGTAAAACTTTTGGAAGTTTCTTAAAGTTTCCTATTCCTTCTAATGTGATCTTTTGAGTTCATTAAGACTATTCCATACCTATGTGAAGTCAGACTAAAATGTAGGTTAGAGTCTCTCCATAAAATGCACTCAGCTAGTCAAAGCACAGCCCAAGCATATAAAATTCCAGTTATTTTCTTCTTCTATGATCTATGGATGCAGACATTAAAAAGCTGATAGCAGAGCTGGGAAGAGACTTGTATGGCCCTGGAAAACGAAGAGGACAAGGATATCTTAAAACTGGGGTTGTTGTTTGATGCCTTCTTACTAATTGTTACTCTAAATGTGGGAGCACAGTGGTTGAGAGCTGTATCTTCTTTGGCTTTTAGAGTGGTTTTTCTCCTGACTGGTTTTGATTAATCATGAAAGCAAAGCACTGGGCCCTCAGACTTTGTCAGCCCACAAAGGCAGTCTGCGTCAAAAAGAGCAGAAGCCTCAATTTGAACAGTATCCCATTTCCATGCAATTGTATTTCCAGTCGTTCAGGCTGGTTGTTTAATATGCAAGAACACACATAGGTAAAGCAAGTAGGTACAGAGCCTGTTCTGCAGTATAAAGGAGGCATTAGGTTTGTCTGTAAATGTTTGCATATCCAATCCATCTGGCTAAGTACTAGACCGTGCCTGGTTATTGTGCAGGGTGAGGAAGAAGGTGGGGAGGGGAAACAAGGAGCTCTGGAGCTAAAAGCCTTTTCCCTCACACTCCAAAGATACTAGATTACATGCAAGACAAAGAGAAGGCAGTGTTTAGCTTTCCCAGTACCTCTTAGCACAGCAGATTTTGGAATAAAATTTTCCTTCTTACAAATGCCTATGCATTCTGGCCCAAATCCAGTAAGTCAGTTACATGTGAACTTCATTCTAAATACTTTTGTAGTTATATTGGCTAACTAACATATAAGTTTAACTTTCTGATGAAACAATAATAAATCTTTATTGTGACTGGGAAGGTAATTCCTTCTTCCAACATGTGAGTGTTTACAGGAAAAGAGATACACAAACAGATCACACAGTATGAGATTTGGAATCAGCCTTGATTTGAGTTCAAATCACATCTTAGACATTGTGTCTATGATTTGTTTGTTGGTCAAAGCCTTTTGCAAACATCTTCTCTCTCTAGCTGTCTGTGAGTTCCATTTCATAGAGAATTTCAAGTCTGATGATGGTTTCTTAGGATAAATGATGTGGAGAAACTCAAGTAGGAATTCTGTGTGCCTAGTTGTCTTAGCCTATCCCTAGAAAGGTGAGCCCAGTTCAGCAGAAGCCTCGTTTGTCAGAGGTGCCACTCCAAGCCACCAACTGAACCAACAGGCAAAGGCAAGAAGATACTTATGCCCCAGTGCTGGCGCCCACAAATAATATATTTTTACTCCTGAGGCCTGATTCTCTTTATCCATGTTCTCCACCTAGAAGCTTGTCTATGTGTTTAGTTATATATATACCCTCTGAAATGTTCCTTTTTTTTATCTCATACAGTAATTACAGCCCAGTTACAGTCTGGCTTACTAACAGTAAAGATATTTTATGGCTTTCAAGCTGGGATTTTATACTGTTACCAATTCTAGCAAATAATGCCATTTCATTAAATCAAAACTTTGCCTGTGGATTTTTAGCCAGGAAAGATTATACTCACTTCCATACCATTATTTTCTGCTTTAGACATGGTAAGAATACAGGTGAAAACCTCTCTTGACTCTTACCTGGAAGTGTTTTTGTCATCCTGGAGATTAATTTTTGTCATTCCACCAGTCAAGTTGTTCTTTCATGGCCAAATCTAATTAAATAGGCACACGAATATATATACATATACTCATATTTAAAGTTTCACTTTTAGGAGAACAAAAAAAAAAATTATTCTTGGAAAAGTATTAGGAAAGATCACACTGAGGGTGAATTTGATATACAAGCTATTTTCGTCAACTTTATGATCTACTATTGAGTAAACTTGGTATGGTGTATGAACTGGTGAATTTTTAGTGGACTTAGGAAATAGTAGAATTATCTATTTTGTAAATAAGGCTTTGCCATATTCTTGTTTATATTACACATTAGAAATGCTGTATAAAATCTTGAAAATACTGGATTTTCTATGTAGTAAAATAATATCTTTTCTTCCAGGTGGTGCAGTGATGCTTTTGGTTTACGAATACGTTTATGCGTGGCTTCAGGACACAGTTACTCACAAGTAGCACTTCTGAAAAATGTACTCTTTAAAATTACATGCATTCTAAAATACACTATAATAAAGCAAATGTGATTCTTATTCTTTATAATGTTGAATGCCATCAGACTGCACTCATGTTAATACAGTTCCAAACAAATATGGTCTCTAGGTCCTGATCCAAGAAAACATTTAAGTACATGCTTTTCTGCAAGGGCATAATTAAATAGCACTTGACATTTGTAATTGTTTTGCTGGACCAAGACAAAATATAAAGCAGACATAAGACAGATGGACAGAAGGACAAGATGAAATTTCTTGACACAGAATCATCCTATGTAGTCATATACTTTTTTAAAAGTTTCAGCTGAAATGGCAAGAGAAAAACTTTCAGAGTATTTTAAAGGAGAAAAATGAATAATTCTAAAGGGGCAGATACTAAGCTAATGTAAATTGGCAGCTGCTTGACTCCACGTAAAGAAAATGATCCGTACTCTGCAACTCTTCAGCCAAGTCTTGGGTCCAGTTTCAGTTCAGCCCAGTATGATTTCAGCATTCATGGAAGAGCTTTTCAAGTTCTTGGGAGTTTGGATAAAAAAGGACAGCACAAGTAGCCACAACCTTAAAAACATGCACACGGCTAAATATCCTACCTGTTCTTAGCCACGTATATGATATAAATCTCCTTCGGATCGTAGAAGATACTGAAATAAATTAGTATGCATCAAATTACATAAAAATGCAAACCAACATGGGATTCATAGAAGAAATGAGTAAATAAATTAACAGAAAAAGGTAATTTTAGGCATATGAGATTTTACTGCAAATTTTTTATCCACTTTGTTACACTATCCCAAAAGAGCTGTCGTGTGATAAAAATGCTCAGTGCATCCTGACTGCCCATTTAGCCTTTCATGTCCACCATGGAATGGTGAAACAAGGTTGTAGGCTGATAGTACATCTGCAGTTGTAATTAGACAGCCATACACCTCAAAGAAAAGCACCTTTCTGTAGATAAAAAAAACCATTTCTCTGAAGCTAAAATTTTTGCTTTTCCTGTCACTGAAAATATAAATATTCCAGGGATGTACTTGAGTTTTTAATAGACATTCCAACTGGGTGAAATACAGTAAATTCTGCTATGCTGACGAAAGATACAGTTTCTGTTCATTTTCTTTTGAAAAACTCTTTAAATAATTTAAAATCACACACTATTCAGTTATAAAAATGTCTCCATTTTCTAACTTGGTTTGTTGTCCAATGAACATATATCTTGCAATTGCTGAAAGTTTCAGTATCTCCCTATACTACATTCACTCATACTCACATTCATTAATAATGTTCTTCCTCTGAAGGAGACACAAACATTTTCCTTAGCAATCCTAAAGTATCTTTCTGCATTGTTATTTGAAAATTACAATTCACGTGTGAAGTTCATCTCACAAGTGTTTTTAATGCATTGCAAAAGCAAAAAATAGAAAAAATAAAAATGGAAAAAAATAAAAATTAAAATCTAAAAATAGAAATGTGTTTTCAGCGCTTTCAAGGATGCCTGTATTAACATGCTTAGTAAGCCTCTTTTTTGTCTGAATTTGGCAATGGTGGCTTTTCATACCTATGCTATTTCGTAGCTAAAATCAATAAAACTAGCTCTGTTAAAGTTTATGGTTTTAAAGCAACTGTTCCTCATTGTTGCATTTTATTATCAGTACTTGGCCAAAGAGAAGACACTACTAAGATAATTTCAAAAACTAAAGCAAAATGCTTTATAATTTGTCTTTTATTAATTTAGAGCATTCAAAATATAAAAATAAAATGCTTTAAACATACTGTATATACATATATAGCCTTCGGTTTTACATCCTTTCCAACATGATTTTTTTCAGTTAATATCTGAGCCTGATATCAGATAAAAGGAGAAACATTCAAAAACAGAAAACAGCATGGTATGGGAAAACAAACCTATGAATGTGCCAGCCCAATGCCCCATTACTCCTTGTGTAATGTGGGCTGAAATTCAGTTTCACACCAAAGATCTTCTGAACTGGGACCATGCAAGCACAGTTCAGTTGAAGGGAGTATTATTAGGCTTCGCTGATTTCTTTGGAAACAGTTAACACTCGGGGAATGAAGTGTAGACTTTTTGATCAAAAAAATTTAAAAATTTAATTCTGCACCCACATATACTGAATAAATCCCAAATGCATTCTTTCACCTCAGTGGGTTCATTCCAGATTTATACCCTTGTACTTGACAGCAGCAGTTAACCCTTATCTATTATTTTTTAGGAAACAATTCCCTTTTCCTTTTTAATTTAATGTAAAATGGTTTAGAGTTGTGTGGTTAATAAGTGAACATGTTGCAGTTTTCAGTTTACCCGTGAGTATAAGCAGTGAAATAGTCCTTGGGCAAAGGAGTATTCTACATTGTAGGCTTACATTTTAGAAAGAAGTTTGTGAAACTTCACACCCCAAAAATCCACCACAGGCAATTCACCAAGAGCCAAGGTCAGGCACTTTTTGCGCACTCTGAGCAACAGTGTGTGCACGCAGCCCCGCTGGCTTCCCACTCAGGGGTAAGGTATCATGTACAGCAGGCAGATGCACGGAGAGCTGTACCTAAACAAACACAAAACAAAAATGGTTTATGATGGTGTATCCCATGGGAGGAATCATTTACATAATGTCCTGTCCTTAATATGAAAATAATAATGATAATGAAAATAACTGATAGAAGCTAAGGATCTGTCTCTCTGTCTCCCAAAATACACTAATTCCTCATTGGAGTCTCAGGAAAGACAACTTTTATTACAGGAATGACCTCATGTTGCTCAAGGAAATTTGGAAAACTTTTAACACAGGCACACTATGTCACAAGCTTGAGAAGTCTTGAAGTTCGAAAAAGCTGTGCTTTGAAAAGTTTCTCTTCCTTTTTTTTTTTTTGTTTTCTTTTCCCTTTGGTGCCCCTGGTTTGAGTTCTATGGAAAACAATAGGTAGACTCACTCAATAATTCTGTAATCCAGTAGAACAACTAAGTGAAAGCTAAAATCCTCTTGCCAACTTAATCACTTATCTACTTGATCTTTTTCTTATCTTTTTTTTCCCATTTTATCTTTAGTGAAGGGCTTGTCTAGTATTAAAGTGATTTCTTTTTTATGGTGTTAAGGCTCATCTTATTTCAGCTGTAACAGCATAAAGGCAGAATAACATCCATCATGTCACTAACAGTGTGGCAGAGTGAAAATGCACTTGTGTGCACTTTACCTTTAGTGGTTTCAAAGAAGCATTTTTGAAAAAGTGTTCTGCTTTTTCAAGGGTTTCAGCATCTCATTAAAGCTAAACAGCTGTTGACTACCTTTGAGGCTTAAGAACATGAATCACATCCAAGATCAGATCTTTGTTTCCTTGGGCCAAAATACAATATTTGTGTTCTTTACAGAAATGTAGTTCTGTTAACTCTTTTTTAGTGCAAGAAGCAAAGGTGGCAGCAGCCAGTAGAGTCCATCCATATTTCAGTGGGCATACTGTACATAACATAAATACTGATTACTTCGATTTTTGTGAAAATTTACCCACAGCTGCTTTGGTGATGAAAGCTGGAAATCCACGAGAGCTATATTTTAAGAGGGAGCTGTATTTTACTTTCTGACTGAATTAGTGTTTAATATGGGATGCAGATGGAACAATATATGAAGAATGGTATTTTGTCCTTTTCTTTAACTATGTCTACAGTAATTTAAATTATTGCAAAACACTTTTAAAAATACACAATATATTAATAGTCTATGATGGATATGAAATGTCACACCAGGCTTTTTTCTTTTTCCACATTCATATTCTGAACATACCTACAGCATGGGAAAAGCATAATAATAGTCAGAACTTTATTATTGCCCAAGGAAAACAGGTAAATTTTCAAAAATCAGAATGTTATATCTCTTGGTATTAAAGTTTAAAGCAAAATAACTGGCATGGAGTACTTGCCACTGCATACAGAAATGTAGAAAGGAAATTTGCTAATATTAAATAATATCTCTGTTTGTAGTACCACCACCAGTATACCTATAAGGGGAAAAAATGCTTCAGAACAACAATGTAAACTTTACCAAGAGCCATACTTTACATTCATTAAAGCAGAAATTAAAGACAAGGTCCTCTTTTAAAAATGACAACATAGTCTGGACACAAGTGAGCTGAGGATGATGGTACAATTCTGTTTCTCAGTGGGGTTTTTGACTGATAGGGCTTTTTAAGCATTTCTGCACAGGTTGCACACTAACAGCATTTTCCTCTATGGTTTTCCATTTTGTTCTGGTATTTTCCACCCATTTCTGTTTGTACACTTCATATTAATGTTATGTTTTATGAATCTGGGAGGCTGGGTATACCTGTTGAAAGTTGCTTAGATAGATTTCTGCCTTTGCCTCTTCTGCCAAAGAGATAATTATTTCATAAGATGTTGAAGCCTCCACTGCAGGCACAAAAACATGACAAAAACCCCCTACCTAAACCTCACCTATCACCCCACCATACAAAGACATAGAAAATAACTAGAAATCATCTTCTTAACTTAAAAAAAAAAAAAAAAAAGTAAGAAATGTACTGGAAGGTGAAAACAAATGCTGTCAAAAGCCTCTATTTACAAATGGATAAAATCACAAAGATCTTACTACTGCCTGATGATGGCAACATGCCAGAAGAATCTGAAAGCCACCTATTGCCTTCATTCTATATTTGATTACTAAAACCCAATAAAACAACAATTAAGGACCTCTTAATAACAGTGGATTGTATAACGTCATCAATTAAAGGGATGTTCTCTAGGCAATTGGCAAACACTTCCCATTCAGCCACCTTTGCTGATTCAAGGCATAGCAGAATTTTCTGTGGTGATTTTTCTTTATTGATTTTTGCACAAATCTTAGTAACAATTGCACATTTAGAAAGTTCGTGATGATTAAGAATAAATATGCGTGGTTTGACCAGGAGAGAGTGGAACAAGGCTCCAGGAGCCCTTTGAGGGACACGAAGTCTTTAAGAGCACAACACCACACTTCTCTCAGTTTCTGATGTTGTCTTCAGCTCTTTCAATCCCAAAAGCCCCACGGGAGAAAAGTCACGAGGAGAAATGCTGAGTGTGGCCAGCGTGAGGAGAGCAGTCCTTGAGCCAGGCTCAGCAGCAAGGAGCCAGCGAGCCCGAGGTGCTCCTGGACCATCAGAGCGCGGAGGCCGTGACGGAGTGGCTGCCCTCCCTGGCTGTCTGCATGCCCTTGAATGCCAGCGAGGCGGGGATGTCACAGCTGTGAGGGGACAGCGGGGTGCCCCCGGCGTGCTGCCAGCCGTGGCTCGCCATGTAGCCGGATGGAGCGGCGCTGTACGTCATGTAAGGTGACACTTGGGCTGGCGTGGCGTAGGGAGGCATGGCTGGTGCGGACACGAAGCTGCTGACGGCTGGGAGGCCATTGGGTGTCTGAAAGGAAAGGGAAAAGAATTTCTAAGAGAGTAAGACACATTGGATCTGGCATAACATAAGCTGCCCTCAGATGCTGCTGGGGCTTTGTACCAAAACTAGGGCCAGCAGGAACACCAAGAGAGAAATCCATAACCATTCCCTTAAATTTCAGGGGCTCAGTGGCCCCTTCTGCTTTGTTTTTAAGACCAGTTACCCTACTGTGATCAGTGGGGCCACCAGCAGATGTTGAGGAACACACAGCAAGAGCAGGACAGGAACTGCTGAGCCCACTGTACACCTGCCTACCTTCCTGTTGTTCATGGGCTCCTAAAAGCCCATGGTTGCACCTAATCACAACACTTGAAAGCTACTGGAGGGATTTGTAATGAGTCTCTCCCTTCTCTCTCACTGAGCACCTTAATGCACTTGGCAATGATTTCCAGAGATTGGAGTAAATGAACTGCAACATTTACCTGCTTTTCCCAAATTTCGCACAGGGTGTTGGTCGCTGTTGCAAACCCCGCTGGGTAGTGCTGGGTGTGCAGTGGCCACAGCCATCCCAGCAGCAGGAGAGACAGACCCATCCCTGTGCCTCACCTCTCCTGGCCCCAAAGGAGGGTGGGCTCAGCCTGAGCTGCCATGGGCAGGTGTAGGCACAAATCTGAAAGCAACCCTCCCCGGAGTGAAGAGGTAACAGCGGCTGGGGGAGCTGGAACATCTTGAACTCTTTGGTAACTGTTTGTTCAGAGCATGAGTCAGAACTATAGTAGTAGTATTATTGATGGTGTCTTTTAAAAATTTGTTTTCTAGATGCTTGGGATAAAAAATTTGCAAATGTTCTTTGCTCATAGCTTCTCCTGCTTTCAATAGAGCTTCTGTGCACAAAACAATTGCTGGGCTGGGTCCTTTCCTGCAAGCTGTTTTCCTAGGTCCTTCTGTAGGCTGGAGAGAAGGGTTTCTATTTAAATAGAGAAGGGAGAGTCCTTCAGTCAGCTATGGTATGATTTCACAATTAATGACTCCTTATTTAACTAAAAAGTGTTTGGTGGTTTATTTCACACCCATAAATGTTTCTTCAGCACAGCAGGTACAAACCAAGATCATTTATCTTGCTCAAGTTTCAATTTGTGTAGTGTTTGTTTTAGGATTTGGGGTGGTATTTTTTCTCAAAAATGTTTTCTATCTGGATATGAAAGAGGAGTATTGATTCAGAAAGTCCTGTAGCATCATCACATGGTACAACTGGACCCAACCTGAACAGTGCAAAGTTAAGAAATTAAACACTTTTGTTTCTTCTAAAAATTCACGTTCTTAACATTTCACTTGTTCAATTTCTGCCTGGATTGCACCTTCCTGATTTCCGGTATTTACCCTCATAAAGGGCACTGGCCTATTTTCAGGCTCGTGAGTTTCCTATCCATGTAGCTCACAGTTCCACTGTCTAGACTATCCTCTCATTGTTATTTGGGAAACAAAGCAGTAATTCTGCTGAATTCAGTCTATATAAACCTGTACAGAAATCTAAAGCAGCAGGAGACAGCAGTAGGATCCTGGCCACAAGCTTCCAATAGGAATATTAATTAGTACAAACATACAGCTGCAGCAGCAACATAATTGTCATTCAAAATCCGTAAATACTTTGTTGAAGCTGAACTTGCCTTATTCTTTTGAGAATGCAAATATGTGATCTGACCAGTAACTTCTATTACGTACCCCCTACTATGACTCAGAATTATGCTTTAGCCTCAGCTCTAAATACCAGTGTTTGCAAGAATACTAATTAATACAAACCTGCAAATAACTGCACTGCAAATCAGTACAATTCTTGAACTGCATGGAAAATTATTTCATTGAATTTACTGGAAATAAATAGTGCAGCCCTAAAAATCTGCTTTTCCAATGTGCAAACATAACACAAGAATGAGCATCTCTGTTTTTTGTAACAAGCACCAACAAAAAGCTTTGCACAGGGGTAGTGGAGCCATTGAAGCCAGGTTGTGACACTGGGATATCAAGAACCACAACCCAAACATACTCTGCACAGAGAAGCACAGAAACCCTGAAGGGGTGGGTGCTGGAAGGAGAAAATATATGGGACAAGTCCCTGAAGTCTCATAGCCATTGAGACAGCACAAACCTTCAGCTTCTAGACCTCAAAAGAGGTTTCTTGGACTCTGTGAATCCTCAGGCTCTCCCACTCCCAAGGAGGCTGGTACCAAGCAGTGGGCTCAAGGCTGTGTCTGGAAGCCTCATTTTAAGTAGGATTCCTCATTATGAGTGCTCATGTTCTGTGAACCCTTAGCTGTGCTTTGGGAAGGATGTTTTAGTAGGTGCCAGGCAATGTGCCAACAAGGCATCTCCCTCCTAGTCCACCGGTGTTCAAGCCCATGTCCTGGACTCCTGCATCTCCTACAGACAAAGCCACCAGGGGTTCCTTAGCAACCATAAGCAGATGACTTTGCATGATCTGAGGCAAATCTGAGCTCCTGAACACCTCACATTAATGCAGACATTGTTGATAAATATTTTATCAACAGGCTTGCTGATAAATATTTGATCCAATCACACATATATGTTCTGTGGCCTTATGGCACGAAGACTGGACTATAATTTGTGGAGAAGCCCAGGTTTCCTATTGAAGTGTACTGTGTGTCCCACTTGGGTTGTTGTTGATAAAACGATGGAAATTGACTAAAGAGTCACTATTTTCTGTAAAAGCTTAATTTAAAAGAATACCTATACAGATTTATAGCAGCCAGAACAACCCTTTTATGCACACACACACACACAGAATTATTCAAAATACAGCTGTGAAAACTGTTGTTTTTATAGTCTGTTCTGAATGTCAGAAAGATCTTGCCCCAACTACTGAGGGCAGGATGTGGAGACAGTTGTGTAGGGACCACCAGCTGCAACCTGTCAGAGGCCACCAATGCTGTCTGTCATCACTGGCTCACTGAATTGGTGAATCATTCTTATTTTTGTTGCACTGCTACAAAGCTTTACCACTCAAAACCATGATTCTGTGGATGCCACAGATGCCCTTAGCCAAGCAGGCAGCACTGGGATGGGTAGGAACTGGCCCAGCACTGAGTACAATTCTGCCTCAGGGGAGGCTTGAGCCATACCCACAAAGCAGTCAGAGACTTCCTCTGACCTGAATTAAAAGATGAGGGGATAGAGAAAATCTCACTCTATATGATTTAAAACTACGCTTCTTGGAAAAGAAAAAAAAAAAAATAAAACAACCTAATTTTCATCTCTGACTTTCATCTGTGAAAGACTTGACCTAATAGTCTTGACATGAGAGTTTTTACTTCCAAACAGCCGTAGATACAAAGTGTAGGTTATCAGAAGGGTTGAATCTTGTCTGTCAATCTGGCACTTTTTACAAACATGACGTTCACTTAAAATAAATGGAGGGGATTAAATTCCAGGATCCTGTATATACTGGAAGAATAATTCATCCTGCAGTATTTCAATCAGATGAAATGAACACCAGAATCTAAACATTTGTAATTAGTAGTGCAAGAACCCCATGGTTTATGGATTTTTAAAACCCTAAGAATTTGTTTTAAGTGCAGAGGTTCTTCGACCTGGTTTTTAAGTTTTATAAATATTTTTTTTCTTAATTTGAACCATCGTTTTTCAAGGGAAATCTAATTTTTTAAAGCAAACAAACAAACATGTAGTTGTAGCTGAACAAGAACGTCTACTGTGTAAGAGATAACGGTTCCCGTTTGAAAGTGACTACTTTCTGGCTTCTACAAAGATCAGAGACAAACTTTTGCTCTCAATTCCTACTTCTATCAATGTTTTGAGACAACTGATGGAATAAGTATTTCCAAATTTTAGAGCTGCATTTGAAACCTAGAGTACATGACCTCCCACCAACTCACAAATTCATTTAAACATGTTCTTGCAAAGATACCAGCAAAACAAGAGTAATTGGGTCAGGATCACAAGATGGGTCTGATGCCTTTCAGCTAAGTTTCTGCCAGCAACAGTAAATTGAAAATTGAGATGAGAAATCAAAACCAGGGTAAACATAAAGGCTTGCTTTAGGTCACACAAAATGGTACTGCTGGAACAAGCAGACTGCACATATTTTCACCAGTAAAGGAGTTGGTTGAGTAGTTTTAACAGATGGAATCTTTGGTTTTGGTCCCTTTAAATACAATACTAACAAGAGACAACTTTTTTTGTCATTGTTTTCAGGGTGTTTGTGATTTGCCACACAGAGGGAGTGGGTGGATGAAAAGTAAGTCTAGAACCAAGCTAATGTGAAAATGTAATTGGAATAAGTAATTTCCATTAGTTGCTTGGACTCTTAAAAGTCAGAGCAATTCTTCCCCAAACCAGAGGTAACCACCACACACACCTTGACATCTGTTTTGGAGGTTATGCTTGTGTAATGTGTTACAGAGCTTCAGCCTCCTCTCTCCATCATGGTAAGAAGACACAAGGGTACAAGCTTTCTGGACAAACTTCCCAGTCAATCCATGTCAGACAAACTACCTGATGCACCTTTGGGTTTTTTCTGCCTTGGTCACAGAGAACCAGAGAAATATGCAATATAGATTTCAGCTTCAGTCCTCATGGTAAAAATTCTAATTATATATTGTACTAAATTTATAATATTTCGTTTCATTCCCTTTCCTACTTTTCCTTCTCTGAATTTTACTTGCTAGATATGTGTTCTCTCAGGATCAAAATTAGATCTCCTATGTTCTCTTCCCATGTTGTTTCTTAAATGTTTCAGAAAATTACCCAGAATTGTAACATTCAAAATCACAGACCTGTATTTATGTTAGCTATCATTAATGGCAATAAGGGATCTCATTTCAGTTTTATGTGAATACGAACGAGAAGATTTGGTGCCACAGGTGGATGCCAGTTCAATTTTATGGTCTAACTCTAAAGTGAATGTCCAAAAGAATGCAAATTATTATTTTTATTGCTATTATTTACAATTATTTAAATTACTTGGCCATTGTAATCTAATTGTTACAATATTT